ATTAGACATGGCACGTGGAACTAGGACAGTCTACCCTAGTGAGCGAAATAAAAGGTTCAGTTCGACATTCCATCCGCCTGAAGAAGGCCAGAGCGTACAACGACCGAAATGTTGTAATAAATATGGAGACAAAGATGAGGACAATACTTCGAACATTGTAAATAGTGTTCATAATACCTCATCTCAGAAATATAGACAGATGCAAAAAGAAAAAAAATTCCCTTGATTTGAAAAAATATGTTTAAAATACTTTCTTTTGTACCTAATTATTCATATTCAATTTTCCTTATTCATTCTGAATAGCCTCCAATATTTGCAATGTACTGTTGAGGGACTCACCTCTTTAGCTGTGAGGTGTGGACGTTTTTTACTGTAAATATTTAATGGCTTCTGAAACCTTTCTCCCACAAACAATAGCAGTTTGGGTAAAATAAAAATAAGCAACTAAACATGGATTTTAAACAAACAATTACTGCATGTATTAACAAAAACAAATTACATCACTGTGTATTATTAGAATTTAACTTGAGAACCACGGCTACAATGTTTTACAAGTTCACATTCTAGCATTACTTCTAATCCTTACCCCAACCTTTTTCCCCTGCCTTCGTATCCGGCTGCCAAAGCCTTGATTCTTATCAGAGATAAGAATATATTTTCTGAAAAACGAGAGATTTGGAAAATATAAAAAAAAGAATTTGATCACCATTAACCTGAACTGGTGCCATGAAGTCTGTGGATGACGCTCACAACTTGTCGGACCTTTGCTTCCAAAAAGCATCTCCCAAAATCTTGATTCTTTTCAGAGATAAGAATACATTTTCTAACAAATGAAATGGCCAGGAAATTTATAGCAATTTGAAGGGAAAAGTCACCGATATTTTCTAAGCCAGCTTATCGTCATAAATACGGATAATTTACGCATGTTTGGGAGTGAGTATTCGACCACTGTCTGTGAGGTCCGTGGCAGAAAGGCAGTCATCTTGAAGAAAGAACTACCTACTATGGGCAGTTGAGAAAGAACGTTGGCCCACTACTAAAATCCAATTGAGTTCTGCCTCCTCGCGCCTAGAAAATATCTATCACCGGCCTATGAACTCACTCAACTACGAAATTCATATCTTCAGACAGTTTCCACCTCTACAAGAACTCTGAACAAACAACTAATTAAACAACAATATACTACTCGCTAAAGAACTTTCTTAGGCGCTCAGAAAAATATTTTGAGCAAGCCTTTTCTTTTGTTTTTTTATAAACATTTTTTTTCCTTTAAAAAGTTAAAGGAATTTTCTTCTCCCTTTCTTTCTCTCGTAATTGTGTATTTCATTTTACTCGCTTTTTGTGCATGTAAAATTTATTCGAAAATTCCTGTTCGGTGCGTAACAATAAAGGAAGATAATGTTTATTTACATTGTAAATAAACATTATCTTCCTTTATTGTTACGCACCGAACAGGAGTTTTCAAATCTTTATTCTTCCGCCTGAAAGAGCCACCTAAAAATAAAGAATTGTCCGCTCAAATCGTTCAAGCCATTGTTGCTTTTTTCAATTTTGTTGCATTTTTAACTTCAACCCTTTCATGTGGGAAAGCCGGAACAAATTCCCAATATTATACAATTGAAAGGAAAGGAAAAGACATTTCAGTGGAAATATTCATAAATGCTTTTTGAAGCACAAAAAAGAGAAAGGAGTATTTTTTCTTTTTACAGGAAACCAGTTAACATAATAAAAATATAAGCGGCTTTGTATAAGTTATAAAAAGTGTATAAGTGGCTTTGTATAAGTTACAGAAGAGGAAGTAAATGAAAATATAAAAAACGTTGTCAGTCCGAGATCAACTATGTAAACTCAGTCAAAAGTTTCTCGTGTTTCAAAATAAAAAATATTAAGATAACTCATGAAAATTAAATAAGAGTTATCTCCCTTTATCTTGAGTTATTTCACGAAATTATTTTCAATAGGCAAGGTTTTAAGAGTAAGCTAACTTCACCGATAAATAGACATATACCGTGTTAATGTTGATAGGAACCTTTTCTGACAATTTACATGTAATAGAAACTAAATGACTTATGGATGAATTGTATGCCAGTGAAAATATACATACTTTGAAGTTTTTGTGTATTTGTGCAGCAATCTCTTTCACGTTTTTTTAAATCATTTCACCCAAGCAAGACTACTACAACACAAGAGGTTATTGAGTGTGAAAGAATAAGTAAAAATATCTATATTTCTGAGATGAGATATTGTAATTATTTACACTATTTACACTGTTTGGACTGTTGTCCTCATCTTTGTTGCCATATTCACAAAAAGAAACATTATTAAGAACAATAAAAGAGGAATCATGAAGACAGTAGATAACAATTGACATCCCATTTAAATTTTTGAAGATCAAAGTTGGCTGGAAAGCAAGACGCCAGAAGAAAGTTCTACAGGCAAGAAGTGAGAGAAAAGAAACTGTTAGTAAAGAACTTACGATTACATCTAGCTGTTTCAGCTGTAAAATGATGAGACCTAACTACCAATCTAGTACTGTGCTTAAATTCATAAAGTCTAGGTACCATAGAGCAAACTTCATCAAAATAATTACCATGAAAGTATTTATAGAAAAGGCACAGAGAAACTACCTTATGGCAGTGGGGAAATGTTTTACACATTACTTCTGTTAATTTCTTGTGTGTGTGTCTGTGTGTGAAAAAAAATGACATGGAATTTCTCTTTTGGACATGGTGTATGGAAGAATTGTTCAAATGACTTTTCCTTAAAAGCACTTTCTGTTAATTTATAAACCATTTTCAAGGATTTAGGTTCTGCTATTGCAATTTATGTGTAGGTTGCTGATACAAAGGTGTGTCTTTAATTTCCAAACAGGACTAATAGATTATGGCTGTGTTTGTAGTTGATGTTATTAAAGGTTCATTTTGGCTTTTATGATTAGGGCTTCTGTTATTTTTAAACATTTTTACAGTTACAGGCATGTATTATCTTTGTGTTTTTGACAAATATTTTACATATTGAAGTTCATAGATTTTTATGTTGATTTAAATAGATCCTTACAGATCTATGATACAAAATATGTAAGGTTAGCCATCTGGATAAATGAGTATGTCCAATATAATTATTTATGAATTTGTTTGACTCAGGAATACAGTTCTTCATGGGGCATTTGGATTCATAAATAATATTGGTCTTGTATAATTTGGATTTTAGTGGGTGGTGGGGGTTGTTATTGTTGATGATATAATTTGCAGTTTCAGAATTTTTGGAGCAAATAATTAATTTGATCTTAGTATGTTTAACTGGACTAATGTTAAACAAACTCCTCACAGATTAATTATATTGATTGATTTGTTTTCTACAGGTTATCAACCCTTTGCAGGTAATTTAGATTTTTAAATATTTTTAGATTGTAAGAATTTTTTTTGTTAGGTAATAATTGTTTAGTGATACAAGTCTTACTAATTAACCCATAGCCAGGGGAAGAAGAGGTGGATTCATACATTTCCTGAGGGTATTTGCATTAAGTGATTACAACAAACCCAATTGGAATTGGAGCTCAGATCTTCAATTAACAATTCCAAGCCATTATCGATTACAACGCACATCCAAGCTTACATCTAAGTACTGACAAGGGTGAATGTTACTTAACTTCAAAGATTGTATAGGAACCAATGTTTCAATCTAATATGCTAGTAAACACTGCCTGACCAGGGATCGATGTCATAATCACAATGTCATCAAATTCATAAACCAACACCTTAATCCACAATGGCCTCATGGATTAAAGCATTTGTTTGGGAATTTGGTGACATAATGATTGTGAGTTCTAGGTTAGGCAGTGTGTATTTGGATCCAGTGGAAATGAGCGAACAATAACTAAGCAGTACTAAATAAAAATAAGACCCAGACAATATCCCAGTGGAATGAGAACAGTCTACCCACATAGATTAAATACAGGGTTCAGAATTTCCTGTACGTTACCCATATAGATATACACCTGAGGAAGGTCAGAGTGCACATTGTCCAAAACATTGTGATAACAATAAGATGAAGACAATAGTCCAAATATATATGACAAATATATGTCATTCGCAGACAGTACTGTTTGACTGTATCACAGATCCTCAGTGCGACATCTGAATGCCTCAAGCCAGGATCAATGCAGGTGGTTGCTGTTTATAGAATTAACTTATCACTCAACAGTGCTCAACTGAAATATATTTTCAAGAGCTAAATTATGTCATTCACAGCCATAATTACTTTAACTCCTCAAGTTTCTCCCTTATGGTCAGGGATTGTCAGGTGAGATTATATTTTTATAATTATAAATTACAACCATATTTAAATATGTAACCATGTCCTTGTGGGTGATGAATTGTTTTCCACCTTATGACCCCTTTCCCATAGATAAAATATAGCAAGCCTATCACTATTTCCATAGAAAGTGTTCAGATGAAATACATTTCTTATTTCCACCCATTCTAACCTTCACGGCTAAGACCAGTACATTGCAGTGAACCACACTCATTCCCTTTGTATTCCATTGGTGAGATGTAAGTTCCACTTGAACAGCTTCTTCACACAAAATGCTGCTTAGTGTAACTGACTCCCAAGAGGATACTTCTCTTGTAACTTCAATCTTAACGTGTTTAAGCCTAGGGTTAAGCCTTATCTTCCCCACAAATCTCCATGAATTTTGCCACTTATTCTACATCAAGTGGGCTCTTGGGCCTTGGCTATGTGAGTGTCCTAACCCACCCAATTTCTAAAAGCTAATTAGTTCTCTTCTCACATTTAATTCCAGTAATCATTAAATGCAATGAAGCCTTCTCTTGTGTTTTTATTCCATAAAAATACATATTTCTGCATTTAACTATTCCACCTCCATAGAGCTGCCTTTTCTTCTATTTCTATTTTTACTTGCCTCCACAGGAATATGTTACCATCTAATTTATCACAATAGCTACATGTATTATTTTATTGGATTATCAAATTAACTGCAGAAACACTGGTTTCCATAGGATCACCAAAGTTAAGCAATGACGAGCTTGGTCAGTATCTAGATGAGTGACGGCTTGGGAATATCAGGTTCTGTAAGTTTGGAAGTGCAGGTGGTGTAATGGATAATGGCTTGGAATTGTTAATCAGAGAGCTGAATTCATGTTAAGTTTGTTATATTTGCTTACATGCAAATATTCTTGGGAAAGGCATGAATCCAACTCTTTTTCCCTAGTTATGTATCATTAATACTATTATCCTAAAAAAAAAAAAAAAAAAAAAAATGTTTATGTACAAAATATTTAGATTTCAACTTTAAATAACCTAGAGGTTGATGTGCAACTAAACAAAATCAACCAAACCAAATTTATAACTAGTCAGTTTATTCAATAAAAAAGCTCAAGCAAGTTTTCAAAAGGATCTCCATGTCCCTGTGAGTGATGAATTATTTTCCATCCTCCAACCTCTCTCTCACTACTTTCATGGAAAGTGCTTGGACGAACTATATTCCTTGGTCCCACCAATTCTAACCTTTAGGGCAAGGACCTGCCATTCCCTTCTGTATTCCATTGGGGAGAAGTAAGTTCCACTTGAACAATTTCTTCCCTGAGCATTACAATCTTAACCTGTTTAAGTCTAGGGTTAACCATTACCTTCTCCTCCTCTTTGTACAAATTGCCTCCTAATGTAACCCTATAACTTGAGTGCCCCCCTGAGCCTTGTACAGGGTGAAAGTTTGTTAACAAAAAAAAAAAAGATTGGCATTAATTTTCCTTTATTAAATTTTGTTGTAGGTCTGCTAATCTAATTGTGAAATTAAGAGAAAAATTGATCTTTCACTGAAAAATAATGTATCATATACAAAGAAAAAACATGGAAAATGCAAAATAAAAAAATTAAAAAAAAAAACACAAATCTTTTGATACAAAATCATTTTGATGTTAATTTTATTATCCACTTATTTTTCTTTGGCAGTCAAATTTCACAGAATTGGACAAAGCAACAGAAACTGTTTCTAATTAACAGCTGAACAAATAAATTGAAGCCGCACATTAACATTGGAAGGATGGCTTAAAACTGAATTTGGAAATCACAATTAAAAAAATGATAGAAAAAAGTTAGCTGTTATTAACACATTTAATTTTTGTTCATTTCTACAATCAAAATCTTTTTTTTTTTAATTTGTTTAATTCTGAAATAAAAGCATCTCAGTAGCTTAAATATAAAAAAAAAAACAAATTAAATATGGCATTTTGATCACCTGATTCCAAATCTGTAAAGACTTCCTCTTTTTAAAATACATAAATACTGTTAGAAATTGTTATTATTATTTAAACCAATAATCCTTGCCACTTTTGCCTACATCTATGATATCCAATTTATAAAATTCATGTTAAAAAAATAAAACAATACTGAATGAACTAATGTATTTTTCAGAATATAAGAAGCACTCTTATTTTGAATACAAAGTTTTAGGAAAATAAAAAAAAAATGCTAGTCTTATAGGAAAGATTTTTATTAAACAAAAATTCAATCTGATGCTTTAAAAATTAATACCTATTGTTCTAGCATCAAATTAGAAACTACTGTGTTATTAATGGCTCTATTTTAATGTTCTTTTGTATAATTAATTACACTTAATTTAAATTTAAATTTGCATTTCTTTAGACATTGTAAGGGGTGAAAAAGTAAAAGCAAAAAATGCAGAAACAAACTATTTTGCTTCCTAGCCGTAAAATATGATGCTTCAGGATTCATTGGCATATCCTATTTGACAGTAAACATGTGCCAGATTGATGGATATCCAATGAAAATTGAAATACCAATCAGGTACTAACAACACTAATTTCATTAAGCACTAACTGGTCAAGCACATTACACATTTGAAATCCATGTTATCATTATAAATAACACATTCTTATGAACTAAACTATGAATGCCTAATTAAATATATTTATACATGGCTTGCCTGTATGCATATGTGTGCGCATAATTACTTTAAACGTTATTATAGTGGATTTCAAATACAAATAACTACTATAATAATGAATAAAGTAATTTTTTTTATATATATATATATATATATATATATATATATATATATATATATATTTTAACATCACTATAGCAGATAATCATGTTTGAATTCCACTTTAAAGTTTAAAGTAATAAAAATGTCATTAAAAATAAATCCATTAATTCTTTATATACTTGATGAATAATAACGTAGCTATAATTTATATGAATAATATACATTTTTTTTTCATCACTGATAGTACATCTTCGAGCTTCATGCACAATGTAATTGTCAAGGGCTAACCATTGTATAGTTTAAATATTGATATTTATACCATACTTAGTACAGTATAAATATGTGTATTTAAATTATTCAATCAACACCTGACGATTGCATTGTGCATGAAACAGAGTCGAGTTACCAGTGTGGAAAACTTTGACATCACTATTAAGCACTTATCTATCTATCTATATATATATAAGTGGCTCATTCACCATAACTTTGGAAACCATGAAACTAAGTTGCAGTACAAACATAGGCATATGTGTATTTATATATATATATATCTGTGTGTGTGTATGTGTGTGTGTGTGTGTGTGTGTTTCTAAGGAATCAATGGATTCTGTATTTATTTTTTATTACTCTAAATGTTATTTTGGAGGATATATATATATATATATATATATATATATATATATATATATATATATATACACACACACACACACACACACACTTACTACAAATGTAGGTATTTGTATTTATTAATATATACTTTATAGCAATGTTTATCTAGATTGTGCACTGTTTTGTTTACAGCTTAAATAAATATTTATTTGCTCATCTGTATATGTACATTATCACAGGCATATATAGTTGCTAATGTCTCATTATTTAGGTTATGTTCACACACACACATATTTTTTTTTTCATCCCTTCAGTGTATAGACGATTTTGACATTTACTTTTGGGGTAAAAAAGTGCATCTTATACACCAAAAAAATACAGTAAAAATCTAAGGAAAACCAAAGGATTCCTTGGCTGAAATGTGATTACACTTTTATCTTTTTTTTTTTTAAAAAGATATTAGTCCTTACAACTTGTGAAATAGTGAAAATAAACAACTTTACAATTCTCTACAATTAAGAAAGATAAGGAATGTATATGTGATCCTTTAAGATTTAAAAAAAAACAAAAAAACTATTTGAACTTGTAGAATAATTCTTAGTATCAGACTTTATAATTTGTATAATTTGAAAATAACTTAAGTCCATTCAATGTTAAAATTTGACCATTGTCCAGCCTTGTTTCTCTACTGAGCCTTATTACAAAGGAAACTTCAACCATTTTTGTGCAGATGTGTACACAGAAACTTGAGCATGTGTTCACATTCATTCTGCTGTTATTTAGGTCAAGAAATTCCTCAACCTCATCCAATTCCTGGCCAGGTTCAAGCAAAGCCATCATAATCCAGCCAAGACAAAAACAAAAGGGAGGAGTAATTGTTCTTAACTACACAACAAAATTCAACAACACATCATACTGTGAAGTTTCCAAACACATGAAAGTATTGTTAGGTTAAGCAGGTTCTTTTATACCAATCTTCTTTGATGGGAGGGCCAAGCATTCTTAAAAATAAACTAGCCATTGAAATCCTGGTTTTAACTTGCATTCAAAGTGCAGTGGATCCATATTTAATAATATAATTGACACAACAGAAGATATTACTAAGTGATATAATTAAATTATTGGCAGAACACTGAAACCTCAATTTAATTCATAAAAATGTAATGCTTTTAAATACTATCTGAAATTACTATGTACTAGCAAAATCCTAGTTTTACAAACATTTCTCTTAATAATGACTTTAAAAATGTTGTAATGGAATGTCCCACACTTCCTATCACCTATGTGGACTGATTATATCAGTAGATATATATAGCGAGCACAGAATATATCTGGGTGCTTGCTTCAGGAATTACTAGCCTGCTACCCAATTCCCTGTCTTTCAGTAGTGTATTCTCTTTTACAATAATCCTCTCTTCTTTTGTCTACGCACATGTTGCTGTTCCTTCACTCAAGTACCACTGTTGTCTGTTTGTAACCTCTTTAAGGATACAACAAAAAATAATTTTGCAGATAATATTTTATTTAGGTAACTGGATTTTTTGGAGGGAGGAATTAGGAAGCTATTTGTATGTATAGGAGGGAGAAGATAACAGTTAACCCTAGACTTGAACAGGTTAAGGTTGTAATTACCTAGGGAACATCCTCTTGGGAGTTCCACAGAGCAGTGGTTCGCTAGAAATAGCTGTTTAAGTAGAACTTACTTCTCACTGATGGAATACAGAGAGAATGTGGGTTGTTTGCTACTACGTAAGTGGTCTTTGCCATGATAGTTAAAAGCCTTGTATAACCGGGGAATTTAGTTTGCCTGAGCATTTTCTGTGAAAGTACCAATGGAGCAGCTTGCCACATTCCACTTGTGAGAGAGAGGCTAGAGGGTTAAAATAATTCATCACCCACAAGGACTCTCAGACACTTTTGGACTTTCAAGGCTGGAAAGTGTGGTCTGGGCAGCTCCCATCCAGAAATAACAACAGTACTTCATTCTTGGCCTAATCTTGCTCTTGTGAAGGTAGAGGACAGCATGTGGGATCAGGTACTTATTGGTTAAATAACAAACAAGTAGGAAATCTTTAGAAATTTGACATGTTTGGCTATTTATTTAGCTTCATTAGAAATGTTAGGAGTAGAATGATTTGAAATATAATTTTGAATCATTCTATTCCCAAAATAAATAAACAGTGAAACATGTTAGATTTATAAAAAATTCCTACTTGTTCCTTATTTAACCATATATAAGATGAAAGTAAGTCAAATTAATAATAATGGTTGCCAATGGTTCATCCAATAAAAAATTAAAATAAAAATAATATCAACAGCTCTAATGCTACTGGTGAAGAACAAAAATATAGCACTGAGAAAGATCCTTGAATGAATGGTGGGTTTATAGATTAGATTTGATCATCTGCAAAGCTATCAAGTTCTTGACTTGGTTAAAAAACTGCTTTAACTAAG